GTGCGTGGAGACCATCGGGAACTACACCTGCTCCTGCCACCCTGGGTTCTACGGACCAGAATGTGAATACGGTGAGGCCCCATATTACCCACATTGCGGTCATGGGCTTGTGCTTTCTCTACCACCCGTCCCTCTGCCCAACTCAAGCTCCCTGAGACACACACTCTGGGTTAAAAACATTGTATCCATGGGGAGAACATCCTATGTAATAAAAGCCTAGTATGCCAAGTGTTCAGTTGTCCAGTCAGCCATTCAACCAATAAAAGCGTAATATGCTAATGATATGCTAAGACCGCTCAACCACTCACTCTGACGTGCACTGACCACCAGGGAGCAGACACCTCAACCTGTAGGTTAGCTTGCTGTGGGGGTCTGGCTGATCGGACCGAGCTAGAAGGGCTGGGCACACTCTAGTGCACTTCCACCGTCCCTCCCAGCTGGCCAACTTCTTGTATCTCTCCCTGGCCCCGATCAGGCACCCGTGAGGTCCCTCGGCCTGGCCTGTGCCCTCTAGCAATCTGGGACCCCTCAGGGGATGTCGGAGAGCTGGTTTTGGCGCGATCCCACAGGCCAGGCCAAGGGACGCCACTGGTGCATGAATTCGTGCAGCAGGCCTCTAGTTTGTCATAAAATCTCAAAAGGTTAAAGGGAAGCAAAACGAAGGCGAAGAGTGAAGAGTGAGTATTTCCCTAGATGCAGCCCACACAGGAGCACCAGGCTGGGCGGGAAGCCTGGGGGACAGGGTTAGAGGGTTGTGCAAACAGTTCCGGCTCTCAGCTAGCCCGGCCTTGTCCTTAGCTTGCGATGGAAATCTGGAATTTTGTCCCCACAGTGAGGGAGTGCGGGGGCCTGGAGCTCCCTCCACATGTGCTCATGGACTGCAGCCACCCCCTGGGCAGCTTCTCTTTCAACTCCCGGTGCGGCTTCCACTGCGCCGAAGGCTACACGCTGGACGGGCCCCGCAAGCTGGAGTGCTTGGCCTCGGGAACCTGGACAAATAAGCCCCCGCAGTGTGTAGGTGCGTGCACCCCATTCCTCCCACCCTCACTGACAAGGGGAACTTCGAGGGGAGGAGGAGCTTTCCCCATCGCACAGCCTGGTAGAGAACACGGCCTGCAGTGGGTGTGGGCTCTGGTGGGTGCCGTCACCCATCAACCATGATTGTCATGGTTTGTGTCTGTCCAGTGAGATGGCCAGCGTGTCTACGGCCATACCACCCTGAACGCGCCCGATCTCGTCTGATCTCGGAAGCTAAGCAGGGTCGGGCCTGGTTAGTACTTGGATGGGAGATGGCCAGCGTAAGTCTGGGTTCTCAGGCAAAAGCACTACACAGGGGCCTGTCTCCCGTTGTTAATTGCAAAGTGGACAGAGTACAATAAGGAGGACTTAGGGAGTGAGTACTATTAATCTGATCATTTTATTTGCTTCTCTTAAAAAAAAAGAGAAAAATAAGGGTGTCTAGCTCTTTCCACACAGCTACTGAGAGTGCCCTCCAAGCCCCAGTCCCTGCCCTGCCTGCCACTTGGGGAGGCAGCTGCACACCCACCACCTGGGGAGGTGGATGCCCGTCACTCGGGGAAACAGATGCCCCCACCTGGGGAGGTAAATGCCCGTCACTCAGGGAGGCAGATGCCCCCACCTGGGGAGTTAGATGCCCATCACTCAGGGAGGCAGATGCCCCCACCTGGGGAGGTGGATGCCCGTCACTCGGGGAAACAGATGCCCCCACCTGGGGAGGTAGGAAGCTGCTGCAGTGACCTGGGCTTCCGGCTGCTCACACTCTGCCCGTGGTTGTTTTTAGCCATCCTGTGCCCACCCCTGAGGCCTCCGGAGCGAGGACGCATGAGCTGCCTGCACGGCGCAGAGGGACCCTCACACCAGGCCAGCTGCAGCTTCACCTGTGAGGAGGGGTCTGTGCTGGTGGGGCCAGAGCTGGTGCGGTGCACGGCCTCGGGGGCATGGACGGGCTCGGCCCCTGTGTGCGAAGGTGAGCTCCAGGACGCAGGCATGTTCAAGGCCCACTGCCCCCACCTCCACGGGGCGTGCAGGTGACTGGCCAGCGGTGGAGAAGCTGCCTGCATGGCTGCAGCCTGACTCTCCTCTCCCTTCCTCTCAGCACCTGGGGCATCTGGGTAGGAAGAGAGTGTCTCTCAGAGACTAAGAGGCCGATAGAAACAGAGTGTGAGTCTCTCTCCCCCGGCTCCCAGCTCTCAAGCAGGTGCAGAAACTTCACACAGTAGGGAGGGCGAGGCAGGTTTCTAAGGTCGAGGGAAGAGGGAGTGAACCTGGGAGGAGCCTATAGTCCTGAGGACTGGCACTCCCAGGCTCTGACCTTACAGCTTTGTGCCCCCAGATCTCCAGGTGCATCCACCATTGCCCTGCAGCTGTGGGAGTGGTCTCTCCCCATCAGCTCTTCTCTCTGTCCCCGGTTGTTCTCTCTAGAGGGGCACTGTCAGCTCCCAGAATCCCCCGCACATGAGCCAGCTGTGTTCCTCCCGTGCTGCCTGTGCACAGGATTCCACCTGTAAATTCAAGGCTGACCGACTGTCCATTGAGGGGCTGGCACATTTGCTGCACTGGCCCGGCCAGTGAGCCGCAGCCCTGCAGCAGGGAGGGTAGGGTGCCCCTGCCACTCCATGCACCAGGAAGGAGCTGTGGCACAGTGGGCACAGCCCTGCAGCAGGGAGGGTAGGATGTCCCTGCAGCAGCCCATCCAGCAGGAAGGAGCTGTGGCCAGTGGGCTGATCAGGGCTCTTACCACCAGCACAGCCTCTGGGCTCTGATGCTGGGCAAGTGGTCAGCCTCGAGGAGGCAGGGTCTCGCATCTGTGGGTTAAGCTCAGATTTGTGAGGGGCTCTGTGAGGATGAATCTACAGAAGCAGACAGCTTACATGGCGTGTGTCAGTGTCTGGGCACGCGGTTCCCCTCAGTGTCTGCCTCTCTTTCCCCTCCCTCCCTCTGGCCTACAGGCTACGGGACACTGCCCTGTCTTGACAAGGAGTCAGACTGTCAGGGCATGGAGGTGGCCTTGGACAGATGAGCAGCACTGGGCAGTGACATACAGGGCTGAATCCGTGCACCAGCTTCACCCCCTGGTCGCCAGGTGGCAAGGCAGGGAAGGGTAGCAGGAAGTTAAAACTGGCTAGTGATTCCCAGGATGCCCAGAGGACGGCCGGCTCTGCTACTGTCCGGACAGGAGCCCATAAGACATGAGCCCGTAGGGAAGTCACTTCAACTTGGTGAGCCTCACTCTTCTCATCGATAAAGTGAGAAACACAAGAGGATCTTTGGTTCACAAATGCCCCAATTCTGTGACGACCAGAAGTCCAAGCCCAGGGTGAGGGTGGTCTTTACTCTGAAAAAGACCCAGACACACAGGACCAGCTGGAGATGGAACCGCCTCGGGGAGGAAGGGTGTGGGGAAGCCAGTCTCTCAGATCCGAGGTCTCCAGGCTTGACTGTGCTCAGGGACCCAGGGGGCTGCACTTGGCGGCTGAGGTCCCATAGGATGGCTTCCTGTGTCCGGAGGCGCGGCCCCTCAGGACCCCTTTACGGGGCTGGATAATAGAGTCAGCAGTAAGCTTTCCCCTAAAAGTCCAACCTGCTCTGTGCTTCCTCTTCCACAAGTAACGCCAGCAAATACTTCAAGGGTGCCCTTGACGTACCCTATACTGCCAGGCTCTGAAGGACAGACTCCGGCCTCAGGGGGCCATGCTCCGAGGGGCAGGGTTACAGTCCTGCGCGAACAGCAGGACCGGGGGCTGTGGGAGCAGCTCCGACCCCTTGGTGGGCAGAGAGGTTCTTAAGGGAAGTGAGATCTCGGCTGAGACCTGAAGGGCAGGGGAGTGGCCACGCAAGGAGGCCAGGGAGGTGTTCTGGGCAGTTTCCCTTTGGAAAGGGGGGATGGAGGCTCTGAACACCCTGACAACATGGGGAGAAAGATGCAGCGTCTCTGGGGGGCTCTTCTGAGAAGAACCTTCCCTGACCGGCTGCAGACCTAACGCTCTCCCTCCAGCCATCGCGTGTGAGCCCCCGGAGCGCCCCGCCCACGGCAGCGTGGACTGCTCTCCGTCCTCCAGGGCATGGCCGTACAACGCCACCTGCCGCTTCCGCTGTGCCGAGGGGTTCAAGCTGCACGGAGCGGACACAGTCCGGTGCGCCGACGCGGGACAGTGGACAGCGCCGGCCCCGCTCTGTCAAGGTATGGAGACATGGCAGCATCCCTCGGTGTCCCTCAGCCTCTTAAAGGCATCAGCATGTGATGTAGCATCTGCACTGTCTTTCATTTATTCATCAGACAGTCGCAAAGAACCTACTAGGTGCCGAGCCCTCTGTGCCGGACCCTAGGGAGGAAATGGGAGCAAAGCCAGACTCGGGCACAACGTGGTCATCACCGCATATTGTACTAAAGTTGGGCTGCATGGATTGACACGTGTGGGTGGGCATGAAGGAGACGGAGCTGGGAGGCAGGGGTGGTGCCTGAGGAAGGGCATGGGACCGGCAGAAGAATAAAGGAAGAGGCATTCAGTCTAGTTCAGTCATTTCCTGCCAACGAGCTTTGGTCTCTCTGGGGCTCAGCGTCTTCGGTAACATGGGGGTGCTGCTCTCTGCCTGGCCTGCCTGCCTCACCAGTGGTCGTGAGCTAGTGTGTGTAAAGCAAGCCTAAAGCTGCTGAGTGCTTTGCAAAGGCAGGTGCTGGGAGCTCTGGGCAATTTATGTCAATCCCTGAGTCTGACTTAGGAATAGGCAGCAGTTTGAAATCAGTGTCTTGAAAAGAGGTTTGCACACCCATGTCCATAGCACATTATTCATAATAGTTAAAATGGGGAAGCCACCCACGTGCCCATCAGCAGACGAATAGATAAACAAAATGTGGCATAAACATGCAATGGAATATTATTCAGCCTTCAAAAGGAGGAAATTCTGACATATGCCACACTGTGAACAAACCTCTAGGACATTGTGCTGAGTGAGAGAAGCTGACCACAGGAGGACAAATGCTGCAAAGTCCCCTTGCACGAGGTCATAGTGTAGTCAGGGTCGTGGACAAACGGCAGAGTGGCCGTTGCCAGGGGCGGGGAGAAGGGACCGTGGGCAGTTACTATGTGCGGGTGTGGAGTTTCAGTTCGCGATGACGAAAATCGTTGAGGAGATGGTGGTGGCTATGGTCAGTAGGAATGTGCTCAATACCACTGAACCGCACACTTAAAAATGGTTATGTGGTAAGTGGTGACTTTTATTTTATGTGTATTTTACCACAATGAAAAAATTGAAAGAAAAGAGGCCGTGGGGGAGGAGATGGCCGTGCACCATGATGGGGGGCGCAGGAGAGTCATGGGGTGAACAGCAGGTCCCTGCCTGAAAGGCAAAGACACGGGAGCCCTGGACGCGCCCATTATCTTAGCCATCGCGGGAGCCACTCTTGTCATCCAGAAGAGACAGCTGTGTATTCATTCTCTCACGCCTCTGAGACGTGTCTCAGACCCCCGAGGAGCTCCCAGTGTTTCCTGCCCCGACAGTCCGGTCTGTGTCTGGTGCAGAGCGTAATGGCATTACTACCGTCCGTTACGGCTGCTGCCACTGCAAGGCTGCCACTCCCAATAGCACCCAGGTGACAGTCAGGGAGCACACTGGTCTACCTCCCTGCGGTCACTACAGTGATTGTCCTGGCTGTAAAGATGAGACCTAGCCTCTGTAGCGTCCCCGTGTTCTCTCCGTCTGACCATCTGCTTCATACGACGGAGACCACACTGCAGGAGTGCAGGCACTTCACATCACACCGCCAGGCACCGCCCATCTCTGTTCAGGGGGAAATACACCCTTTGTAGTGACCCTCCGGGCTCCTCCCATGGACCCACCATCATTCATTACACCCTCTGATCAGTGGCATTTATATTTTTGTTTTCAATATTTTGCTTTTATAGCTAATGCCATGATTAAACCATCCATGAACTGAGGTTTCGATACACATGTTGATGGCATACTCAGCATACACTCTTGGGTCCGAAGGTATGCTATTCTGAAAAGCATGGATACATGTTGCTCAACCGGTTAACAATGGCCCTGCCTGTTCCTCAGCCCCCTCGCCATGACAGGACACCTTCTCACTCTCCAGGTTAAGTGTGCCCCATTCAGAAGCCCCTGTTCTTGGCAGAAACTTGGGCCAAGGGGCAGGGAGCGATGAGAACTTGTGTACTGCTGCTTCCCCGCTCCCTCACTCCCTCCCTTCCTCACCCTTAGCTCTGCAGTGCCAGGATCTTCCGGCTCCAAACCACGCCCGGGTGAAGTGCGTCCACCCCTTTGGCGCCTCGAGGTACCAGTCCGCCTGCAGCTTCGCCTGTGCCGAAGGCTTCCTCCTGGTGGGGGCACGCGAGCTCCGGTGCCTGGCCACCGGGACCTGGAGCGCCGCACCCCCCGAGTGCCAAGGTAGGAGGCCCTCCCCACTCTTGGGCATGACTGATACTCTAGAGGGGGTAATGTCTGGTGGCAGAAAGTTAAAATAAACTGGAAGATGCATGAACCTGACGACTCGGAGCGCAGGTGCCCTGAGGGGCTAGGCGGGCAGCACAGGGCAGGACGCTGGGTGGTGGGCGATGGGGTGGCCCTGTCTGCAGCTTACCAGGCCCTTCAGTAGGCCTTGAGGCCAGGATCCGGCACCAGGTGAACTGTGCTCACTGGGCTGAACCAGCATCTGCAGAGAAGGCCACAGACCACGCGCAGCCAAGGCCGCTGTCCAGGCTGCACTGGCACCTATCCCAGGGTGCATGGAGTCTCCTGGTGGCATGGTGGAGGGGAGGGGGCGGGGGCCAGGTCATATCAGGGTGGAGCGGGGAGGGGCAGAATATACGGGTGCTGGCTGCAACACTTTCCAGTTCTGTGTCAGATTGCAGAGATAAGCGTAGGATAAGGTGAGAGACAGAAAGAGGAAGAAACTCATCGATAGACGCAGGTTATGCAACTCTCAGAATGAGAAAGTGCACACTCAGCCTCAGCAGGCCCGTCCGCGTGGGACTTGGTGTGAGACAGAGCCATCGTGTCTGCCCCTGTGTGACACGGCGGGGTGTGATCACTGGTGTTTGGGAGCTGAAGCACGGATGGCTGCTTTTCACACTCCCCTGTCCTTTTCCACGTAAGGAATCGATTTTTAGTAATATTTATGGCAAGTACTGCTTTTCAAAAGCAATGTTTTCATTCATGAAAGCTACTGAAAATAAGAAAATAGAGAAACATTAAAAATCCTCTCAAATAGACACTGAGAGCATTCTTGTATGAATTCCTCCACACGGTCCCCATCCACTTTTCCCTGCAGGCAATTAGCATTTTTATGATGCGTCCACAGTTTTCACAGTAAAATCAAACAGGTAAAATGCGAGATAACTCTGGTTGTTGGCTTTTGCCTTTCCCTTGCACAAACTTTCACCATCTGAGTGAAAGCAGGCGGATCTGGTTAATGGAGAGGAAACCACTTGCTATTCAGGTCACACACATGCACACGTGCACACACACCACTGTTAGCGCAACAGTAAACAAATGAGTGAATGAATGAATGAATAAGTGAATAAATGAATGCCCTCAGCAGCCTGGGGCCTTCACCCCCAGCACAGCGAGCACCACAAGCCCCGGGAGCTGGGCAGGTGCACAGCCTGAGCTGCGTCTGGAGAGACCCACTTTCTCCTCTTGAGCATCCAGTGAAATACCTGGGTGTGGGCGGGGCAGGAAGGCGCCCAGGGCAGGGAGGCACCCCAGGCGTGCAATCCGCCAGCTGTTGCAATACTTCTTGAGAGGCTGTTATCTATTTCCCTTTTCAAGGCCCGCCCACCCCCAAGCCCACCCTGGCTGCCACAGGCTCGGCCACAGAAGAGCTGGAAATGGGCTCCATGGCACCAAGGCCTCCCTGTTTGTTCTCACAGATGACAGGCTCCCTTCCCCCTGTTACCGCCACACACATGCATACACACACACACACACACACAAGCCACAGAAGAGCTGGAAATGGGCTTCCTGGCACCAAGGCCTCCCTGTTTGTTCTCACAGACGACAGGCTCTCCCCCCCACCCCCCACCAAACACACACACACACACACACACACACACGCACACATGCATGCACACACACACACCCTGAGTGCAAATGGGCTTTTCAAGTGGCAGAAAATAGATAGGTTTTTTGATAAGTCCATCAGATTAAGGGGAACGTAGTTGAGAGGGGAAGGGATGACGGGAAGAGAAAGGTGCAGAAAACGTTGTAAAAACTTTAAGCAGTTCAGGTCGGTGGCTGGAGAAGGGTGCTCTTGCAGCCGCACATCTCCTGCCCCTGCTCGATAGCACTCCCTGCTCAGTCGAGTCAAACAGGGAAGGATGCCGGAGCATGCCGTCTCTTAGTCTTCATCTTTCCCATCATCTGGACTTGGTCATCTCACTAACTGGCAGAGGAATAGCCTCACCAGCTGGTGACATTCACATACAGTGTTTTCACCTTTGACCCTTGTGGAAATCCTGGGACCCATGGAATGCCATTCTCCACATTTTAAGGTAAAGCTTTGAGGCTCAGAGAGGTTCCGTGACTTGCCCAAGCTCACAGAGCATGATCTCCAACCTACCCAGCAAGTCCCCAGCACCTCAATCTCCACATGTACAAACTGTGGCAAAGCCCCAGGAAATCCTATTTACTTTCTTTTGCAAGTGAGCTGGTAGAGTCGTTGGGGGCTGGCCCTGGAGGATGAGACTGGGGGAGAGCTTCTGCAGATGGCCATTTATATGAAGTGCCCCCTGTGCGCCCGTGGTTTTTAGATTCCGTTTTCATGCGTGCTTTAATGAACTTGCTTCACATAACTGCTATTCCCTGCAAGGCAAGGATTGTTACTTTCCCATTCCGTAGACGGAGCAACTGAGGCTCAGAAGGCTTATTTCCCAGGGACACCTTGCTAGTGAGTAACAGACAGGATTTGGGCCCAGAGTGTGTCCGCCTCTTGGCTGGGACAGGAAGCTGGAAGGGGAGGAGAGTGCTTCAGCCCATTTTTCTACTTCTGGTCGCTGTCCTTGTTTCTGGGGAAGGTCAGCAGGTCAGCTTCTGAAGAAAGTGCTCAGGAAGCAGCCGCTTCCGCTCCTGACCAGGGGCCGCCGAGATGACCACGCTGCTCTCTCTTCCAACAAAGCACCGCTCCCTTCAATCACCAAACGCTGCCTTTATGTACTAAGAACACACACATACTCACACACATTCACACTCATACATACTCACTCACACTCACACCCACACACATTCACACTCGTACTCACACACACACTCACACACATACCCACACTCACACACACACAGTCGCACACATACCCACACTCACTCACTCACACTCACACCCACCCACACACATTCACACTCATACTGACACACACACTCACACTCACACACATACCCACACTCACTCACTCACACTCACATACACACCCACACTCACACACACACCCACACTTACACACTCACATACATACACACACACACAGTCACACACACACTTACACCCACACTCACACTAACACTCACACCCACACTTACACACTCACATACATACACACACACACAGTCACACACACACACACACACACACACTCACACGTGCAGATTTGGGGTTGCAGAGTTCTAAAACAGCCTCTCTCTCCTCCCCTCTTGCCCTGGCAGCCATCACCTGCACACCTCTGCGAAGCCCGCAGAACGGAACGGTGGCCTGCGCCGGCCCCCTGGGAGACTCCAGCGCCTCTCTCTTCCCCTCTTGCCCTGGCAGCCATCACCTGCACACCTCTGCGAAGCCCGCAGAACGGAACGGTGGCCTGCGCCGGCCCCCTGGGAGACTCCAGCTATCAGTCCACATGCCAGTTCACCTGCAACGAGGGGTTTTCTTTATCTGGACCCGAAAGGCTGGACTGCACTCTATCTGGGCGCTGGACGGGTTCCCCACCAACCTGTGGAGGTAGGACCGCCAACCTGTGTTTTCTATGGCCTCTCTCTTGGGCAGAGCCATAGAAAACTGTCTTAAACTAAAGGAAACACACTTTCCACAAAGCCTGTTGATCTAGACCAAAGGCAGCTTCTCTCTTTCTCTCTCTCTCTCTCTCTCTCTCTCTCTCTCTCTCTCTCTAACTTCAGTTAAACATTTAGTTTTATAAAGTGTCCTCATGTCAGTATCTATCTGGGCGCTGGACAGGTTCCCCACCAACCTGTGGAGGTAGGATCACCAACCTGTGTTTTCTATGGCTTCTCTCTTGGGCAGAGCTATAGAATGAGATTTATGTAAAACTGTCTTAAACTAAAGGAAACACACTCTCCACAAAGCCTGTTGACCTAGACCAAAGGCAGCTTCTCTCTCTCTCTCTCTCTCTCTCTCTCTCTCTCTCTCTCTTAACTTCAGTTGAACATTTAGTTTTATAAAGTGTCCTCATGTCAGTATGGCATTGATGTTTGCCACAGTTCTATGTTCCTCCCTTACAGCCTTTCTCTACTGCACTCTCCACTCCTTCCTTCCTGCGTTCACCCTTCCTGAACACAGCTGAGCGTGACGAACTGACATCAGGGGTGGTGTCGCTGCATCTTGCCCCTCGGGGAGCTCAGGGCCTGGTTACCGCGCTTCTTTCTCCCCGACTTCCCTGTGGATACACAGTCCTGGGGCAGGACTGCTCCTTCTTCATCTCTGTGCCCTGGCAGCAACTGGACAGAGTGAAAGTGGGGGTGGGGGTGGGGGTGACAAATTCCTGTTGAATTGAGCTGATCATTCACTGATGATATTTATTTAAGCACCAGTCCTACTGAGAGAGAATTAGTGGAACCATCAAAGGCTGGGGCTGGATCTTGCCAGCCTTTGATTCCCCCCAAAACATCTGGCATGCAGCGTGCTCTAAGGCAGAAACGTACTGACTTATTAATTCACAGGTCGCGTTACTTTCGAAAGGTGCCATCGTGCCGATGGGTTGCTCAGTGTGTTCAGTGATCGTGAGGCCAGAGGGGCTATTTACCGCTGTGTACCCGGAGCCAGCTGCTTCACAGGCGTTCCCACAGTCAATCCACCCAGCGGTCTTCACACGGCTACGTTTATGCCCATCTTAGAGATGAAGACACTGAGGTCTGGAGTGATTGAAGGGCAGGCCAGGGGCACATCGCCAGGAAGTGTGGTGCCAGCATCTGAAGCCAGGTCCGGTCCTACCACCGGGCTGGTGTTTCCCGCGCTGCACCACACTGCCCCCCAGAGGCAGGGTGTCACACCTGGGCCATCACCTGTGAACTTGCTCTTTGCCACCCCTCAGGCTGCAGTCATGGCTGCTGAAGTGAACTTGAGAAACAGCAGTGCCTGGTGGTCAGATGAGAGAATGGTTGATAGAAACTCCTTGTTATTTATTCTTTCTTGTGGAATGGGCACTAGATTAGTAACCCAAGACCCGCGTCGTCCTCTCTGGCATCACGTGCCATTTTAGAAGGACCTTAGGGGCACACCCTTAGGGGCAAGTTTCTCCGTTTGGAGAGGAGCTGACAAGGTCATCTCAGGATCTCTTCCCTGGCCAAGAGTCCTGCGGGTGAAAGGACACAAAATGCTGCCACCTGCTGTTAAAAAGACACACGACAAGCGCCTAGGATGCCAGAGCATTCCTGGTTGACAGCGTTAGGACATCACTCATTCACTTATTTCTCATTCATCAATTCCATCAACATTTATCTTGAGCTCTGTCTTCCCACATCCTGTCTTCAGACCAAACAATAAAAAACCTTGTGAGAATTATCTCACTAGAGTTTTAAATCATATATGCAACCGACATGGTTGTCAAATCTAATTTCTGATTCCACAAA